AGCAGTTCACCTTGCTGGCATCTCCCCTTGTGGGGTGTAAAAGAACACAGAGGAGAGGCTCGAACAGTGGCATGCCAGCCCTGTAATGGAAGAAGAATGGGGGAGAGTGGCTCCAGCTGGCCAGGTCCACTCTGTGTGCCCGGGGGAAATGGGACCTCAGCTTACCCTGTGTGAAGATGTATAATAAAGGGAGCCTGGACCACTAGCCCCGCTGGCAGGCATGTGGCAAGGGAGGCTTGATGGGCATCTCTGAATGCAGGGCATAAGGAGGAGCTGGAACCAACCCCGCGCCTAGGGGGGAAGCAGGGCAACAAGGGGGCTTGGGAGACTAGCCCAATGCACAAGTGGGCAACCTCGGAGGACCAGCCCTGTGAGCAGCAGGGATGCTCGAACCGGGGGACAGCAGGGTGGGTCAGGCCAACTCCAGGCAGCCCTCAGGCTAACATTGCACTAACGGGAGGCAGGGAGGGCTTAGGCCAGCCTAAACGTGGCTTTTGAAGGGATGGCATTCAGGCCAGGCCAGAGGTGTTCTGTTTTTCCTTTGGAAAAAATATGGTCATGCTAACTGAGAAAACACAAGCCAAATGGCATTAGAGAAATGTAGTCAGTACAGATAAAGCAAAGCAGGAAGAAACATACATATGGACATACCAAATTCACATTTTGGTCAATTTCATGGCCTTAGAATATTAAAAATAATAAATTCCATGATTTCAGTTATTTAACTAAGAAATTTCATGCTGGTGTAATAGTAGGGATCCTGACCCAAAAAGGAGTTGTGTGCGGGGGTATTGGTGGCGTTGCAAGATTATTCTAGGGGAGTTGCAGTACTTCCTCATGGCTGCTGATGGGAGCTGAGCTGCATGCCATGTTTACTTCTGCCCTACTGCTGGCAGCAACTCTGCCTTCAGAGCTGGGCTCTTAGTCAGCAGCTGCTGGTCTCTAGCTGCCTAGGTCTGAAGGAAGCAATGCAGAAGGGTGGTATGGTATGTTATTGCAACCCTTACTTCTGTGCTGCTGATAAAAGGGTGCTACCTTCATAACTGGTTGGCATATAGTGGCCAGGCACTCTCCAGCCTCTCAGCTCTGAAAGCAGTGCTGAAGGAAGGGCGGCAATACCGCAACACCCTGTCCCCCAATAATCTTGTTAAACACACACACACACACACACACACACACACACACACACACACACACACACACACACACACACCCTTTTTGATCAAGGACTCCAATTTGAGGAACTCTAGTCTCCCCCATAAAATCTACATTATATAGGGTAAAAGCACACAAAAGACCATATTTCATAGTTTTTAATGCATTTTTCATGGCCGTGAATTTGGCTGGGGCCTACCTATAGGAATATTACTTAAACCCATCAACTGTGAAGATGCACAAGAGGGCCTCCCTAAAGCAGAAAATTAAAATCTAGATCAGCTAACAGCTGAGTAAGTGGAAGTTTGAAATAATAAAAACAAAGCTACTTACCTTTTTAAACATAACTAGAGAGATGACAGCAGATGCTGTGAAAAGTGCTGCTATGATTATCATCATAATGCCAACAGGAACACTCTCATTAAGACCAGTCAGAGATGAAATCCATCCACTAAAGAAAATAATGACAAACTTCATTACAATGGTGCAATACATACTTCCTTTTTAAGAAACCATTGGAACATTCTAGTTCTGTTCTGACTTGAGAAAAGTAACGGCAATTTAAAAATGTAAACGTGCTATATTTCTAAGGTGTTTTTAGAAGGTCAGTTCCTAAATAATGTAGTCTTAAAGATAGAGCAAGTCTACACTACAAACTTTAGCCAGTGCAAGTTTCATTGACAAAAAGATACCACAGTATATCACTTGTGTGTGTACATACTTGGCTTCTCACATCAGCACTGCACATACTCACCGGGAATGTGTTCAATGGACAGTGTGGTACACCATGGGTAGGTAACTCACCATTGTCCATCATAATGTATTTTGGGAAGTTTGGGCAATGCATGATGGAGAGGCAAGTCTCATGAAAAAAAAAATGATTGAGATAGTAGGGTCACATTCCCATCATGCATTTTTCTTTGCATCATAATGCCATTTCTGTTCCATAATTTTCATGCCTACTTTGAAAATCCCACAAAGCCACTTTAGTTGTCACGTGTCACTGTATACCGTAACTGGTGGTCACATAGAGCCTGCACTACAAGTACCAGATACACAATCCTGTTTTTTTCAGAGCTGCAAGAAGAGCTGTGGGGAACATGATAATTTCCTGAAGGACAGACTGTTGTGAGACAGAGCAAACCAACTCAAGGTTGATGGTGGCTTCACAGAACAGCTGCAAATGGCAGAGCACCATTTCTGGGCCTGATAAACAGGCACCGACTGGTGGCACTGCACCATAACACAGGCTTGGATTGATGAGCAGTGGCTGCAGAGCTTCTGGATGAACAAGGCCACATCCCTGGAACTGTGAACTGAGATCACACAAGCAGTCCACCACATGGACACCAGAGTGAGCGCTGCACTGACAATGGAGAAGCAAGTGGTGATCACATCGTAGAAACTTGTAACATTGGACTGCTACCTGTCTGTGGGGAATCATTTTGAAAAAAAATCCAGTGAGAGGGCCATTAATAATCTCCTGCTCCATAAACTCTCAGCAGTGTGCAGAACAAAGGATAGTTTTGCAACAATGATATTTCTGAACTGCAGTGGCATGATAGACAACACACGTTACCCTATTTTGGCACCAGACACCCCTCACCACAGAGCGCACAGTCAAAAAGAGCTCTTAGTTATAGTTATACAAGCACTGCTGGACATTAGCAGGGCTTGACAATTTAAGTAATTATTCACCACAGGCGAGTAGATTACAGCCCGGCACGGTGCCGCAACACAATCTGCGCATGCGCAGCGTGCTGAACTGCGCGGCTGGTGAGTGGGGCTCGCCACGGCTTGATGAGCCCTGGACATTAGCATGGGCTGATCAGGGAAGGTGCATGACACTTGCATTTTTTAAGAACACGGGACTGTTCAGAAAGTACAAACAGGGACTCACTTTCCGAACTGACAGATTACCACTGGCGATGTGAAAATTCCACCAGCAATTGCAAGGAGCCTGCCTACCCCTTGCTCTCTTGACTCAGGATGTACACCAGCCACCCAGACAGCACCAAAGAAAGATTCAAGTACCAGCTCTGCGGGTGCAAAATTACAGTTGAACATGCTTTTGGTGGATTGAAAGGGAAGTGGAGTTTACTCCCAAGAGGGGATCTTGGTAAGAAAAATATCCCAATACTTACAGCTGTCTGCTGTGTCCTGCAGAGTACCTGCGATGCAAGGGGGGAGGGGAGTTGCCATTAGGCAGGTGGGCAGAGGTGGAGCAACTGTCTGTTGAATCTGGATAGCTGCACACAAGGGGTTTTAGAAAAACTCAATGCAGAACTACACCTCTCAGGGAAGCATTGAAAGAGCACACTCACACTGCAGTGTACTGTACTCTCTCTGGGCCTGCAGTTTGGGGTTGTTAGGAAGTGTGTGATGCACTGGCTTTCAGGGTCTTGCTGAACATATCTTCCTGAGTTCTCGTTTCCCTTCCTTTTCTCACTCTGGAGTGGAATCTGCCAATGCCCAAACAGCAGCAGCTACAGATAACACCCACAGAAGTACAATTGTAAGAGTAGTCACAACGGAAAGCAAAAGTTAAGATTCAGAACTCTCTTCTGGATCTGCTAAAGTTTTAACAAGCTATGTTGATGGACACTTCTGCTTCAGAGTGTTTGTGCCCAATGCCACTCACAGCTCCAGTCATGGTGAGTAAGGCATACCAGGGTCAGGGAAAAGAGAAGGGAATTGCTTGGATTCATGAAACTATGAGTGTAGGACAATGGCATTGAATGCTGGCATTTTCTAGAGATGGTGGCAATTTTTGCAGATCTCTCACTCCAGAGGGTTGCAAACACAGAGTGCACAGGTGCTAGTGGTGTGATAAAGCCACTCAGGTCACGTATGCTGCTGGCCAGTTTACTATAATGGTGCCTGCAAATGTTATTGCCTCCTGGTATGGAACTAAGAGAAAGAATTAAGGATGCTGTCCTTAGAAATGTTTAGGAGAGTGTTACAGAGTACTCAAGGCACTGCGGCGTTGAGGCATGTCCGCAGGGTGGCAGATTGAGGAAGCCCTCTGCAGAGTGATCTCAAGGAGTTGGGCCAAAAAATATAGAATAAGGTGCCGTGGATCAACAGTGCATAAGCGAAGGAAAACGGATTTCAAGTTGGGCAGACAGAGCTTGTTAAGTCTTTTTAGGTACATCTGTTTAGGAGAAGGCAACTCTGATCTCCAACCTAGGCTCTCTTCCTGCAGAGCACATGCTGGTTTGAGAAAAGAAAGAGACGTGGATTGGAACACACAAGCCAACCTCACTTAAATCCACCCACATGTGAAGGTCTCTCTCTTGACACTGAAGATTTACCTCTTTATGATAAAAGTCCTACAGCCGTGGACAAGTGATGTTGGATGCAGGCAAAACATCTAGCTACAAACCTGCATGTAGGTGGCCCAACTGTGATGGTCCTCCGTCTGCTGAACTGGAACAGCAGCAGCTCCTGCATCCTGCCCAGGTGATAAAGCAGCCCTATTTAGGGACATCACTGCTTTCTTTCAAAGAAGAAGGGGAAAGAGAAAAAAAATCTAAATACAGCTTGATCCAGTTGATTCTTTTCAGTTAACTGTGATCGACTGGATATCCAATTTTGCCATCATAAGAGACGAATCAATGACTGAAAAGAAACTATGCTTTGCATCCTGGAATATACACACACTTGTTGACAATAATAATCATCATGAATGCAGGACAGAGATTGGTAGAGAACTTGCATGTTATGTCGATATTACAGCTTTAAGTGAAACATGCCAGTTCACAGAGGTTGGAGCAGACCCTTCAGATTATTGTGTGGGCTACCCTGAAGGGCATCCAAGGCAAGTGGGAGTTGGCTTTGCTATCAAGATGTCACTAGTCCCCAGCTTGAATCGCAGTCATGTGCCTTCAGTCCTTGCTTCATGACTGCAAAGCTTAGACTGAGGAAAGGTCAGTGCCTTGTACTTGTTCATGTACATGCACCCACTTTGCCTGCTCCAGACGATGAAAAGGAGGCTTTCTACAATAACCTGAATTCACTGATTTCTTCAGTACTTTTTAAATCCAAGCTATATATACGTGGTGATCTTAATTTTGGAGATGGTCAGGACTGCATGACATGGCCAGAGGTGCTTGGATATGATATTAGAAGCAAGAATGCAAATGGCACTTCTTCAAAGCAAGCTCATGCTGCGTGCAGGTATTTGCCAGCACTTTTTTCCAACGGGCAAACAAACACAAAGCAATTTGGATGCACCTTGGTCTAAGCATTGGGATATGACTGACTACTTCATTACAAAACAAAGAGATGTTTCTGATGTTTTGACTTGTGCAACGCTTGGCACTGGCTCCCTGTCTGCATGGTACACAGTGTCATCTCCTTGAGACTTTGCAAAAACTTGATCATTCTGCTGTATGCTGGAAAACATTGGATGTAAGTAAACTTGAGATGCCTGGTACAAGCACTGTTTCAACTCAGTCTTGAGGATTAGTCATCAACGATGAAGGTCCAGAGCAGCCATCTGCTACTTAGGAGGACTGGGTTAACATCAAGAAAACAACCTACAAAACTGCTGGAAATTTTGGAAATTCTGGGTTTCCAAAAACGCATGGACTGGTTTGATGACAAGGACAAATATGCCCAAGCTCTTCTTGATAAGAAGCCTGTGACACTCCTGGCCTGGATCAACGATAAAGAGAATACCTCCAGAAAATCAGCATACATTCAAGATAAGCAGAAGGCATAAATCAAACTGACAAATGAAAAAGTACTGGTGGAAATGTAAAGTCATCAAACTTCAAAATGCAAATGACAGACATGTTTTTAAAGCATTCTATGATGGGCTGCAGGCAGTCGATGGGCCAAGTATTGCTGGCGCTACACCAGTGAACTCTGGTGTTAGCAACACTCGGATTACAGATTTAGTGCTAAAATCCTCGACTATTGGGCTGAACATTTTTGCAATGTATTAAACCAGACATCAATTTTCGACAGCACCATTCTTGAAAAGATTCTTCAGTGGGCTAATGATTCACAGATGGTTATACTGCCAACTCTTGATCAGGTACAAAAAGCTGTCAAACAAATGAAAACTGAAAAGGCACCTGGCCATGATGCAATCCCATCAGAGATTTATAAAGTTGATTGTGGCCAGCTGATGTACCATCTCACCAGTTTATCATCATTTGGGAAAGAGCAAATCCCCCAGGACTTCAAACAAGTCCTGATTTTTCTCATATATAAGAGAAAAAGTGACTGTGCATGCTATGATGACCACTGGGGTATCTCACTGTTGCCTATAGTTGGTAAGGTCCTAGCCCACATCTTCTACAATTGTCTGCCATTACATGTGTTCACAAATGGTATAATTCCTGAAAGTAAGTATGGATTTCATACCAGTTGAGGCACTGCTGACATGATATTCATAGCCAGCCAGATACAAGAAAGCGTAGAGAGCAACATGAAGATCTT